AGAAGCCATGAACATTTGATGTTGAGAAAAGAACTCAAATGAGCATAGTAACAAAGTTAAAAAATTTAAGGGTACTGTCATGAAAAAGAAGAATCACAGTTATTCTGTAACTGCCATTAGAATAAAAATAAGTCAATTGAGAGAAGCTACAGAAGCTACAGGGAAAACGAAATCAGCATCAGCAAGGAAGAATTTTCTAACAGAAATAACCACAAGAGAAAAGGTGGGGGAGAACAGACATCTCAGAAGAGTATGAATACCCTAAGTATGACTAAAAAAAAAAAAAAACCTCAATGAAAGATTGAGCCAAATTAACATAAAGATTGCTTTCAAGTCCAAGTACTTAAATAATAAAAGGTAATTTTTATAAATCTCAGTCATGAAAAGCTTCAAATTGATTCAAATGGTTATACCAGTGACCAAAATAGACTTGGCATGATAAAATTTAAATGTAAAAGAAAAATAAGAAACTAGAAGTTATCTGCCAAGTCTGTAAACAGAGTTGTCAGCCTAAAAACACTGTAATAGAATTCAAAAGAAAAGACAAACAAATATGTCTATATAAATATTTAAAATGTTCACATGTGAAAAACATTAAAAGGCAAACAATAGGCTGTGCAATTAGGATAAAGAGGTTTTAGCCTTAATACACAGCTTAGTGTCCAATACGGCAGCCAGAAGTCACAATGTGGTTGCTGTTGTTCAGTCACCAGGCTCTGTCAGACTATGCGACCCCAAGGACCACGGCATGTCAGGCTTCCCTAACTTTCACTATGTTCCAAAGTTTGCTCAAATTCACGACTGTTAAGTCGGTGATGCTATCTAACCATTTGCTGCCTCCTCCTTTTGCCTCCAATCTTTCCCAGCATCAAGGTCCTATCCAATGAGTCAGCTCTTCCCATCATGTGGCCAAAGTACTGGAGCTTCAGCTTCAGCATCAGTAGTTCCAATGAATATTCGGGGTTGATTTCCTTTAGGATTGAATGGCTTGATCTTGTTGCTGTCCAAGGGACTCCCAAGAGTATTCTCCAGCACCACAACTGGAAAGCATCAATTCTTTGGTGTTAGCCTTCTTTATACTCCAATTCTCACATTTGTACATGACTACTGGAAAAACAAGTAGTTGCTTTGATTATCGGACCTTTGTCGGCAAAGTGATATCTCTGCATTTTAATACACTGTCCAGCTTTGTCATAGTTTTTCTTCCAAGGTGCAAGTGTCCTTTAATTTTATGGCTACAGTCACCATCTGCAATGATTTTGGAGCCCAAGAAAATAAAATTTGCCACTGTTTTCACTTTTCCCCCATCTATTTGCCATGAAGTGATGGGACCAGATGCCATGATCTTAATTTTTTGAATGTTGAGTTTTAAGCCAGCTTTTTCACACTCCTCTTTAACCCTCATCAAGAGACTCTGTAGTTCCTCTCCACTTTCTGCCATTAGAGTGGTGTCATCTGCATATCTGAGGTTATTGATATTTCTCCCAGCAATCTTGATCCCAGCCTATAATTCATCCAGCCTGGCTTTTCGCATGATGTACTCTACATATAAGTTAAATAAGCAGGGTGACAATATACAGCCTTGACGCAGTCATTTCCCAGTTTTGAACCAGTCTGTTGTTTCATGTCTGGTTCTAACTGCTGCTTCCTCACCTGCATACAGGTTTCTCAGGAGACAAGGAAGGTGGTCTGGTATTCCCATCCCTTGAAGAATTTTCCACAGTTTGTTGTGATTCACGCAAAAGCTTTAGTGTATGAATGAAGCAGATGTTTTTCTGGAATTCCCTTGCTTTTTCTGTTCCAAGTGATGTTGGCAATTTGATCTCTGGTTCCTCTGCCTTTTCTAAATCCAGCTTATATATCTGGAAGCTCTTAGTTTACATACTGCTGAAGCCTAGCTTATAGGATTTTGAGCATAACCTTGCCAGCATGTGAAATAAGTGCAACTGTGCAGTAGTTTGAACATTCTTTGGTGTTGCCCTTCTTTGGGATTGGAATGAAAACTGACCTTTTCCAGTCTTGTGGCCACCACTGAGTTTTCCATATTTGCTGGTATACTGAGTGCAACACTTTCACAGCATCATCTTTTAGGATTTGAAATAGCTCAACTGGAATTCCATCACCTCTACTAGCTTTGTTCATAGTAATGCTTGCTAAGGCCCACTTGACTTCACACTCCAGGATGACTGGTTCTAGGTGAGTGACCACATCATCGTGGTTATCTGGGTCATTAAGAACTTTTTAGTATAGTTCTTCTGTGTATTCTTGCCACATCTTCTTAATATCTTCTGCTTCTGTTAGGTCCTTGTCATTTCTGTCCTTTATTGTGCCCATCTTTGCATGAAATGTTCCCTTGGTATCTCTAGTTTTCTTGAATAGATCTTGAGTCTTTCTCATTCTATTGCTTTCCTCTATTTCTTTGCATTGTTAGCTTAAGAAGGCTTTCTGATCTCTCCTTGCTATTCTCTGAGAACTCTGCTTTCAGTTGGGTATATCTTTCCCTTTCTCCTTTGCCTTTCACTTCTTTTTTCAGCTATTTGTAAGGCCTCCTAAGACGGCCACTTTGCCTTCTTGCATTTCTTCTTCTTATGGATGGTTTTGGTCACCGCCTCCTATACAATGTTATGAACCTCCGTTCATAGTTCTTTAGGCACTCTGTCTATCAGATATAATCCCCTGAATCTATTTGTCACCTCCACTGTATAATCATAAGGGATTTGATTTAGGTCATACCTGAAAGGCCTAGTGGTTTTCCCTGCTATCTTCAATTTAAGTCTGAATTTCACAACAAGGAGCTCATGAACTGAGCCACAGCCAGCTCCAGGTCTTGTTTTGGCTGGCTGTATAGAGCTTCTCCATCTTCAGCTACAAATATTTATAATCAATCTGATTTTGGTATTGGCCATTTGGTATTGACTATGTGTAGAGTTGTCTCTTGTGTTTTTGGAAGAGGGTGTTTGCTATGACCAGTGTGTTCTCTTGGCAAAATTCTGTTAGCCTTTGCCCTGCTTCATTTTGTACTCCAAGGCCAAAACTGCCTAGTATTCCAAGTATCTATTGACTTCTTACTTTTGCACCCCAGCCCCCTATGATGAAAGGACATCTTTTTTTTGGCGGGGGGGGGGGGGGTGTTATTTATATAAGGTCTTGTCAGTCTTCACAGAACTGTTCAACTTCAGCTTCTTCAGCATTAGTGGTTGGGTCATAGACTTGGATTACTTTGATGTTGAATGGTTTGCCTTGGAAATGAACCATGATCATTCTGTTGTTTTTGAGATTGTACCCAAGTACTGCATTTCGGACTCTTTTTTTGACTGTGAGGGCTACTCCATTTCTTCTAAAGGATTCTTGCCCACAGCAGTAGATATAATAGTCATCTGAATTAAATGCAGGGTTCAAATCTGGTTCTCCTGCATTGCTGGCAGATTCTTTTACCATCTGAGCCACCAGGGAAGCCCAGACAACATAACACAAACTACCAGTCACATATGCCTATTTAAATTTAAATTAATTTAAACTCATCTTAAATTAATGAACCATTAAAATTTTAGTTTCTCCATCGCACTAGCCACATTCCCAATGCTCAATAGCTACTGTACTCGGTAGCTACTCTACTGGACAATGCAGATACAGAACATTTCCATCACTGCAGAAAGTTCTACTGGAATTTTAATATCTAAAACAGAATAATTTAGTGCAGAGAATTCATTACATAGCTAATAGAAGAGCTGAGATACCTAACAGGGTGTTGTGCAGGAATCCAGAGATTAGCAACAGCAGGAAGCCACTACCATCCCTAAGACAGAACAGAGTGCACAATCCAGAACCCAATGTCAGCTGGTACAAGCTGGGGCCGTGGCAGATATCTTAGGTGGGAGCTGGAGACAAGGAAGAGAAGCAGCCTCTGATGGATGAATACCCTGATGGAAAAAGAGGGCAAGAAATACCCAACTTCTCCCTTCCTTCTGCCCTCCATTTCCTGCCATGCCTCGCATGGCTGACTGAACACAGACAAAACCCAGGTGTGAGAGGGTCCTAGGAAATGCAGACCATAGTGGTGAAACCCTCATGGAAAAGGAAAGAACAGGGGAGGTTAGAAACAAATCTGAGGTCAAACAGCTTGAGGCCTGCCACAGATACAAATAGATAATTTAGAGGAAGGGAAAACCCACAAATGGCCAATATTTGAAAAATGTCCAACCTCACCAGTAACTAAATGTAAGTAATAACACTCTTAAAACAAGAGTATTATTATGTTAATAATAATAAATACTAATTCAAATACACAGTGCTCATAAGGGTGTGATAAAAACAGACACATTCATATATCCTAGGGGTGAAAAAGAATTTTCAAAGAAGCTGAAATAATTTTGAAATTAGCATCAGCAAATTTTTTAACATTTTCCATACTTTTATATATCGTTAGACCAACCAAGTATATTTCCAAGGATAGATCCAAAGTCTAGAAAATCTTAAGTCCAGAAAATAATTTTAGAAATAAAGATGTTCATTGCAGCTGTATAGTATTGGGAAAAAATGGACAATTTCAATGTCCATCAGTAGGTCAAGAGTTAAGCAAAGTAAGGTACATTCATCCATTTATCAAAAAACAGTCCTGTTTGTTTGCCAGCCACAATGAAAGGTACTGGAAATATAAAAAAGATTAGGAAGTAACAGCCGACTAATTCATATCTATTTAAATAATGTTTACAAAGGATTTAAATAAACTAAGGACATGCTTGTGATATGCCCAGTAAATAAAAGATGAACCTGAAATTGATTACACTTACAGCATACAACATATGCCAAAAGGTTATTAGCAACAGCAGTTGCCTGTAAGTGGTAAGATTATGAGTTTATGAGTTTACTTTATACATTTCTAAACTTTCAAAGTTTTCTAAATAAAAAAACAAATTTTACAGAGCTATTAAAAAACTCCTTCAGAGCTATTAGTGTAAATGTTTAAGAACTGTGAACCTGCCACAATCATGCCAGTTTACCTGTTACAATAATAAACTGCATTATTTGGATCCAATTCTATCGCCTGTGTGTAACAATCCACTGCAGCAGCATAATTTTCTTCTTTCATGTGATTATTGCCTAAAACAAAGTAATCAACAGGTACAGTAAGTGCAATATACAGGAAAAAATGGAAGATAAATTTTAATCATAAAAAATTACAGTAATACGAAGGACAATAACATGATTTTTCAGTCACACTGGAGATAAATTTTATATAGTACTATAGAACTGATACACCTTAGCCCTCAGTATGTTTGAATGATTTTGAAGTACATTAATATTCAAAAATATTAATGTTTGACTATCTTATAAAAACAGACTTCAATAAGTGAGTAAATGCTACAGTAATGATTATCTCTTGGCAAAATCTAATCTCTTCTCACTTTCCTTATTTTCATCTCCCTCTTCCCTTTTGGAGCTGCCCAACCCTCTTCCAGCTGGACCACCCAGTACAATCGCTATCTCAGTCTGGACCTGGTCCTCCATTCCTGCCCTGTCAAAACGTACAACTGCTAATGAGCAAGCCCTCCGAACATGCTGTGGAGGTAAGCTAGAAAAACTAACTGTGTCAATATGTTATTGGCAGATAATATTTTTTTATGTGTTATGCTTTCCAGAGATATATTCTTTTTTAAAGGAGATTATGGGAGATTAATTTCTAGCAAGACAGCATTTCAGATACCACAGCTAGCCCACAGGATACTGAGCTTCAGGAAGGGCATCTGCAGATACATCTAGTAACAATTTAGCTACGTTAACAACTGGTTAGCAAAATAAGTGATTTTTCTGTGGCTATCTTCTGTATTCCATTAAACAGAAAAAAAGCGGCATGCTCACTTATAATAACCAATGCTCAAATGGAAATATTTAAAACACTGGAATTACAGGGAAGGATTTATATAACAAAAGCCTGTATTACTACTTCCAGTTATCTCTAAACTAGAAGCTCTCCTATTAGCCTTTTTTTTTTAACAGATCATTACATACTTAATGGTATGTAGAAGAATGTAAATTTGCAGAGAACAGGAAGATTAAAGGAAAGACATCTAAAATCATACAAAAGTTACTGCAAATTAAGAAGCAGAAATGGATATAAAGAATGATTGCTAAAGGGATATAAAGTGATTTCTACATGATTTCTCTTTGGGATGAGAAAAATGTTCTATAGTTGTGGTGATGGCTACACAACTCTGTTAATCTACTAGAAACCAATGAATTAATACATGTCACAGTATATCATGTGGTATGTTAATTATAGCTCATTAACGCTTTCTTTAAAAGTCAAAAAATTAAATTAAATCCCACCTTCCATAAGAAATGAGTATAAAGCCTCTAAGGAAGAGAAAAGGATTACATAGTTTTTATGATTGGGTAAGAAATTACTACATTAGTACTTTAACTACTCAGTACTTAAATAGATTAGCTTGTTCCATGTAAAAGATTTAAATTTTCTGGGTTATGTGGATTTTCTTTTTGTTGGATCTTTGTGTCCAACATGGATCATGTATCCATGACCTCTCTTGGGTTGTATTAAAACCTATAGTATGTCTTTTCCCATAAACCACATCAAGTGTATAGATACTAAAATGTATCTATGTCTAGATAGACAGATAGTGACATTAATGATAAAAAGATTCAAGTCAGAAAATATTCAATATACAAAAACTCGGGACACAGATATTTGTGAAGCTAACTATAAGTGGGCACTGCACAGCACACTTAAACACAGTACTCTCCTGTCCCCTTTATTCCTCAAGACAACCCTTTGAGATATGTCTTTACTTCTGAAACAAGGCAGGGAACGACAGCAATGAACACTTACTGGTTTTGCCTGATCTTATTGCAGCTTTTCAGAAGCAAAGCACACAAAAATATTTGAAAGCAACCTTCCAGGAAGGTACTAGGAGCTAGAAACCTTGATTAACACAGGTAAGTATAACACGCAGCCTAGAATAACTATGCTTGACCATCTACCACAGCCATCTATTTTCACAAGAACAGCAAAATCTGTATGACAGCTGCTTTAACTTTATGGGTAATGTGTCCTAGATGTGACATGTCCTAGGGAAAAGCAAAGGATAGGAGCTTTTGGTTAGAGGTGAAAGCAGTTAAGTAATTCAGTCTACCCATGTTGCCATGGTAAATGAGCCTCACTCTGCAGCTCCTTCCACCCTCAACTTACTAACATTCATTATATCAAAATAAACTCGAGGAAATGCAGACTCCCGGGGTTCTGCCATGCAGATGGAGTAAATATGAGGGACAAAAAATAAAACGTCAACTGGCCATTTAGGACTAGAGCTAAAGCAAGAGAGCTACAAAAGCAAAATGCTTAGCAAAGCATATAATATTATACATCACTGAGGATTTCACACACTACAAAAGTCTAAGTGCAAGAAAAAAAATCAGATTAAATTGCTTCAATTAGAATAATATATCAAAATGCATTTGTATCTAGATAGTTTAAACTCAGTGTTCGGGGAACACTGCAATTCAAACAGGAATGAGGATTTGACTGTTACTTTAGTCTATAGGTAATTTATGAAAGCCCTAATTCTAAAATTTTAAGTCAATGTAGTAATAAGATTTCTTAGAGAAAAATAAAAAATTGAAAACTGAACACAGCACTTTCTAATGCAATCCAAAGAAGATAATCACACAATAGTGAAAGTAAATATAGACAAAGATACAAAGACAATGTTACTTAAGATTAAAAAATTATCTATCTAGGTGTGTAAATCATGGTCTCACAGTATCATGAAATACTATGCAGCCATTAAAAACACTGATATAGTATAATTTATAGACCTAATAGAGAGAACCATGCTTGAAAAATGGGAAAAGCATATTCTTTTTCATATCTACTTTTTAGACACCAAATGATTTTTTTAAAAAACTCAACTGTCCTATTCAGAGTATGAACTAAAAAAAAAGGCCAGAAAATAAAACCATTCTCGTACAGCTTCTGAACATTACAAACCCCCTAATAACTCTCTGCCCATTGGACAGAGTCTTTTCTGGCTCTCATTCACTGGTGAAGATCAGGGGTCTGCCCTACGGCTCCTTACTACAAATCTTACAGGCCTGACTGGCTTGCCTCTGTAGCTTAACATAAATGACCATGATGGAAAACCTGAACCCACATTCTCAGTGCCAACTTATTTATAAAAATCAAGCATGCTTCAGTAGCTTCCCTCGTGGCTCAGATGGTTAAGAACCCGCCTGCAAAGTGGGAGACGCAGGTTCAATCCCTGGGTCAGGAAAATCCTTGGAGAAGGAAATGGCAACCCACTCCAGCATTCTTGCCTGGAGAATTCCATGGACAAAGGAGCCTGGCAGGCTACAATCCATGGGGTTACAAACAGTCAGACATGACTGAGCAACTAACACTTTCACATTCATGCTTTCTAGAGCCACTACTAGAAAATTTAATAACATAGTAATCAAATGTGCTAGCTAATAAACCCTTAAGTGCCATATACATACATTAACACATGTCAAAGAACTCAAAAACACTAAATACAGGAAACTTAAAAACGATACTGAAACCCATTTTTATGTCTTTTATTTAGCATAAAGAATTTGCGATCCTGGAGTACACATAGCAAATGCAGGTGCAAGAACCACCCCTTAAGTGATTTGTTTTGCAAGTTTTCCTCACAACAGATCTGCTTCTCTTGAAACAAGCTATACTTGTATCGTTCACAAGCTATTCTGTATTTCCAGGCTTCTTCCCTATCACATTCATTCCTGTTTCACAAATGCCAGGAGGACTTATGACAATCCAGTCTTGGCAGTATAAACCAGAATCTTACCAGTTCATAGTCACTTTCCCTACCACTGCAGAAACTTTTACTAAATAAGTAATTTTTCTATGAAATATTTACCTTCATCTTTTAATTGGTCAGCTTTTCCCATATCTTCAGGCACTGAGTTTGAGAGAGGCAGAATGTCATTCTGAAATTAAATAAAATACAATGTACTTCATTTAGCTACATAGAGTCATCCCAGAGAACTATAAGTTACAGCAATAATGACTTAACCATTATTTAGTACATCATCTATAATTTCATGTCACGAAATTTACCATCTAAATAACAGTGTTAACAAGAAATAACGAAAAAGTCCCCTCACATACGTTTATTAGAAAAATGAATATGTGGAATTTTCCTAGAAAAAAGTGAACAACTATGAATCAATTGTTTTTACTTGCTTTCACGAAATCTAGAAATCCTACTTCATGAATAAAGAATGGAATCAATATACAAAGAATAGTAATAAAAATATGTTCAAGGGATTGTTTAGTGAAAATTCAGAAACATAGTGCTAATATTCCAAGAGAAAACCCACTAAGTCAAATTCACAGGTACCAAAAAAGCATTTATAATATGATCCTATTATTTAAATATATACACAAATATTCATACACATGCTGGCTGAAAATCAAAGAATGGTAAGGTACACACAAAAAGTTAACAGTAGGAATATTTGGAAGTAAGATTTTCAGTCTCTTTTTTATATCATTCCATATTGTTTAAACTTTTAAAAACAATGGTCATAAATTCCTCATAAGATAAAAAACAGTATAAGATTCCTGCTTTTTTTTTTTTTTTTTTTTAATAGATCCATGGATTTATGGAATAAGCTAGGGTTACAGATTTCACATTATAACTAACCTTTTTTTTTTTTTTTTTTTACATGTATTCCCCATCCCGGTCCCCCCTCCCACCTCCCTCTCCACCCAATCCCTCTGGGTCTTCCCAGTGCACCAGGCCCGAGCACTTGTCTCATGCACCCAACCTGGGCTGGTGAACTGTTTCACCCTAGATAATATACGTGTTTCAATGCTGTTCTCTTGAAACATCCCACCCTCGCCTTCTCCCAGAGTCCACAAGTCTGTTCTATACATAGGAGTCTCTTTTTCTGTTTTGCACATAGGCTTTTAGCACTTACTATCATCCTCAAACCTCTTTTGCAATAATAAAGTTCAAACCAAAGTACTTATGAAAACTAAATAAAAATTTAGAAATGTCTTGAGTGGTAATAGGAATATAATGTATTTTCCCAGTTTTGTAAGATTCTTTTTAAATTGTGTTGTTTTTAAATTTGACTCTGAAGTTCATAAATGTTTATAATTTTCAAAAAGGCATAATTTGGAGTAAATATACCTATGTATCATATTTAAAATATATTCACCATCACCTTTGAGTAAAATGGCAATAAACTTGATAGCTCTAACACTGGAAATACACTTTCTTAATTATACACAAATCTTCAAAGGTACAAAATCACTATAAGGTATGTAAGTTGTGCTTATTGTTTTTAATCTTTATCAATCATTTTTTCTAAACAAAGTATTAGGGAAAAAAGTACAGAATCAAATAGGAACATTAATAAGTAGAGCTCACTACTTAAAATGGACTGTTTCAGCTACTCAGGATGTAAGTGCAGTTCAAAGATGCATTGCTGCCCTGCAATACTTGCTTTTAGAGTTCCTTCCATTTCAGATCTCCTAACAAGCCGAAGTAGTTTATGTGTGAAAAGTGACTTTGGCGGGGGGCGGGGGGGGGGGGAGTCAAAAAATCGCATATTGAAAAATGGATTATAGTCCATTCTGTCTTCTAAATCCTTCTGAATGATTTTAATGAAATTGCCAAAGTTTCACAACTTTGAAAATTAATTCTCATGTTCATGAAAACATTTGAGCAGTCCACAATGTGAGGACAAGTGTTGTCTACTTTATATAGAAGGAAAGAATCCATTTAGTATATGAAGTTAATTGGGGAGGAAAGCAGTATCCTAAAAATAAACTGTCCAACATAACAACCAAATACAATTGGAAGAGCAGTGATTTCTCTAATTATAACAGTCTCGCTGCTGCTTCAAACAAGTTTTAGACTTTCTCTGCCATAATCTGCTAACAGACACCTACACAATGAAGTCACACCTGTTAATAGGACTCTGAAAGGACTGATACCATAAATAACCCCATGTAGATATACTATGGAGCCAGTTTTAAGAAACTATATATTTAAAATAGTAAGCAACAAAATTTTACAAGTAAATCCAATCAGAAATAGAAAAAAAAAAGAGCTCTATTCAAACAGAGGGTAAAAATCAATCTGAGTTTCTGGGGAAGAAAAAAAGTCTTGATCTCTTCAGTACTAGTCAGTGATGACAGGAACAAAAAGAGTGAGCAAATCCAAGCACTGTCTCAAGCACAAGCCTCTCCTGCATGCTGGAGTAAGGTCAGCCCTGCCGCTGCCATGCCTAGCCTCTGAAATAGGGCTCCCAGAGGAGAGCGAGCCGACAGTGAAGGAACCACAGAAACCAAAGAGAAGAAAAGCACCACGGAGACATGCCACTATCTCCTTACATCTTCTCAGATAATTGGGATTCATCAATTTGATGAATTAACATGTAACTGTGTTATCCTTTTTCCAAGTATAAAAGGAGGAAGCAGCTCACTGCCAAATCACCATTTTCAATGCAACTCTAAGGACCTCTTCCCAGTGAATTCTAGAAACAGTTTGTGTGGTATTCTCAGCAATGTACCTGCCAGGCTGAAGATACCCTGCATGTTTCAGCTCCTCTCCTGAGTTCCTCAATCTGTACTGAAGCTTGAATACCCAGTGAGAATACTAAAAGAGATTCATGTGGCACCAAAATGTAATGAAAAAACACATGGGAGGTCCTGCTGGGGCCCTAAACTCACCAACCTTAAGAGTTTTCATTCTTATCATCCATATTTCCTGCAAAGGTCAGAAACCAGAGACCACGTAAACAATTCCAGGGAGCAGGGAGCAGCATCCTTGGATTTCAGTCTTGGTTTTGCACACAGAGTGCAGAACCTTTGCCTGTTTAAAGAGCCCCATTAACGGCCAAATTTGATAAAAATCTATCTCAAAATGATGATGCCTTTTTTATATAGTTTCTTCTTAAACATTAAGATTTTTATTTTTAATTTGTATTTCACGTTTTAGGGGAACATTCAATCAGATGTCAGAAATTTAAAAACACCCAAATACCATAAAAGACTTAAGAAGTCAACTAATATATATCATTAAACATAAAAGAACGTGAGAGGATGAGCAGAGTTACTAATATGAAAATCTAATGCACATTAAAAGTTACATTTTTAGGTCCCAAATCATCCATGGGGACCAACTATCTTATACCCAGGAAGAAGTTAGTTACCTAAGCCTGGCCCCTCAAATATTAACAATCCAACATAATACTGTAGTCACACTTAGATAATCCCATACTAATGAGAAAAGGATGAGAGCTTACCTTACAGAAGGAATTTGTGAACATTTCTGTCAAAGGCTGTGAAACTGCTAGATGTGTATCTTCTGCACTGATTTTAAAAACTGTCTCCAAGCACTGAATTGCAACTTGAAATAAAGTTTAATAGTGAAAAAAAATTAGCAATATAAAAAAAGAAACAATTTTTTTTTCTGGTAGAAATCTGCACTCTGCAATCTGTGGTAATTCAGCATTTTGATCACAGAACATAAGGAAAACTAAATGGTTCAGCTGCATAGAGATTTCTGTTTATAGACCAGCTACTGAGGGAAGACAAGTTGGCTTCTTTTTCTTCACTTTAAGAAAAATGTTACCTAGAATATAATATCTCAATATGTGTATTACATCATATTCTTTTCAAAGCAAGTCATTAACATATTCCCCATTACCAATATCTTGAATAAAACTTTAAAAAAACTATATTTTTTTAATGTGAAAAATAGAATTCTCAATCTGATTAAAAATAGTAAGAGAAATAGTCTCTGGCATGTAGGAACCACTAAATATTATCCTGATGTACTTACTTAGGTGAAGATAGTTTGGCTTTTAAAAACTCATTCAGGTATGCAAATTTACCAAGCACCTACTATGTGCAAGGTGCCCTTACAAGGTGGCAGAGATACAACAGTTAGCACAGAAATCACAATCCACATGATGAAGCTTACCCTTAATAGAAGGAGGCAGACAAACACAATTGTTTATTTTGAAACCACTCTACTGAAACATGATTGACATGTAAGAAAGTGCACATTTTAATGAGCTTGTCCCCTTTACTGGTGTGTGTGTGTGTGTGTGTGTGTGTGTTAAGAACACTTAACATAAGATCTACCCTCTTTTCAAATTTTTAAAATTTATTTCTAATTAGAGGATACTTGGTTTACAATATTGTGTTGGTTTTTGCCATACAACATGAATCAGCCAAAAGTATTCACATGTCCCCTCCCTCTTGAGGCTCCCTCCCACCCCCGACCCCATCCCGCCCCCGAACGTTGTCACAGAGCACCAGGTTGAGCTCCCTGTGTTATACAGCAACTGTCCACTAGCTGTCTATTTTACAGATGGTAATATACATGTTTCAAAGCTACTCTCTCAATTTGTCCCCCTCCTCCTTCCTCTGCTGTGTCCACAAGTCTGTTCATGTCTGTGTCTCTATCCCTTCCCTGCAAATAGATTCAGCAGTACCATTTTTCTAGGTTTCATATATACGCAACATTTGTTTTCCTCTTTCTTACTTCACTCTGCACAATAGGGTTCATCCACCTCACTAGAAGGCACTCAAATCTGTTCCTTTGTATGGCTGACCCTCTTACCAAATTTTAAGTACGATCCAGTTAGCTATAGGCCCTATGCTGAAAAGATCTCCAGAACTTATTTATTTAGTATAGCTGAAACGCTGTGCCCTTTGACCATTACTTCCCCATCTCCTCTTACCCCAGCACTGGTAACCACCATCGCGCTCTCTGTTTTTACGCTTTTACGCATTTGATTGTTCTAGATTCCACATTAAAGTAAGCACAGTTGTTTTAATAAGTAAATTTGCTGCCAAAATGTTTAGTGTTCAACACTAACACATATTTAGAGAGACATATGGATTAGTTAAAAAAAAAAAAAAAGCCACCACAGCCTTGGAACTCAGGACTCTCATTATCATTATTAATCCAGAAAATTAAAATCTAATAACCTGGGTACAACAATTTATCTCACTTTTACCTCAACATTCTCATTTATGAAACAGGGATTATTACATATGGTCCTCCTTTCAGGAATAAATCATAAAAATCTAGAGAAATTCTGTATACAAGTTTGCTCCACTCTTACACCAAACAGTAAGAGTCTGATGCTGATGATGATAAGGAAAAGCAAAGAATTCTATTCAATGATACCACATCCCATCTATAAAGCACCTTATTCTAAAGCTTCCATATGCCAAACACCTGCCATCACCAATTCTGATTCTTTTGACACATCTATTAGATGAAGCGGGAAAAGAACTCCACCTATTAGAAATTAAGATACAGACTAACTAGGATGCCCAGGATCACTGGATTTAATTCATCAGTTCAATTCAGCAAATATTTATTGAGCACCATGTGTCAGGCCCTTTTTAAGGCCCTTTTATATATCAGTGAACAGAAAAAAACTCCCGACCTCTCGGGGCGGTCATTCTCCTGGGAGATGGAGAAGAAGACTGTAAACAAAAAATGATAAAAAGTACAACAGGGCGAAAAGGATGGGAATGCAGAAGGCAGAGGTGGGAAGCAGGTTCCAGGTTTAACGGAGTGCTCAGCGAAGGCCTCATTCAGAAAAGAGGACCTGGAGATGGGGATATTACGGTTATCTAGGGGGAGAACATACTAGGCAGAGAAAACAGATGTAACAAAAGTCTTTATATATTTATTTTGATATGGACCATTTTAAAGTCTTTGTTGAATTAGTTACAACATTGCTTCTGTTTTATGTTTTGGTTTTTTGGCCCCGAGGTATGTGGGATCCCAGCTTCCAAACCAGGGATCAACCCGCACCCCCTGCATTGGAAGGTAAAGTCTTAACCACTGGACCGCCACAGAAGTCCCTGCAAAAGACTTAGGAAAGAGGATTTGGTGCATTCAGAGCGAGAAAGCTGATTTGACGAAAGCCAAGTGAGAAAGAGAAAGTCTATGAACTGAAATAGATCTGACATAGTCTGTTTTACAGGATCACTGGTGGCTGCGTTAAGATGAGTTAATGAAGCAGCAAATACAGAAGCAGAGAGACTAGTTAGAGGCCATCACTGTAAATAAGTATTTAGTTCTATCCATAGGTAATGTTGGTGGAGGTGGGAAAATGTCAAGATATATTTGGAAGGGACAGCCAACAGGATTTATTGAATAATTAGATGCAGAGTCTAAGAGAAAGAGAAGAGTTCACAATGATAAGAAAACTTCTAGCCTAAGAACTGAAAAGATGGAGTTAGGGAACTGAGTTAGGGAAGTTGTGAAATAGAACAGATTTTGGGTGGGAGGATCAGGAGTTCAGTTTTGGAAATATTCAACTTGAGATGCCTGTTAGACATACAGATGAAGAGAGCTAGTAGGCAGTTGGATGTAGAAGCCTGGAGTTCAGAAGAAAGGTCTGGCCTGAGGGTATACATTTGACAGATAACAACATATGAAAAAGGACAGTTAAAGCCAAGAGGCTGAACTATAACACCAGCAAAGTGAGCGCACATAATGAAGAGAAGAGGATCAAGCAGTGGACCCTGGATATATCCAGGGATCAAAGCCAGGTCTCCTGCATTGCAGGCAGATTCTTTACCAGCTGAGTGACCAGTATATTCCTAGTATATTCCAGGGCAGGGAAAAGAGGAATCAGCAAAGGAGACAGAGAAAGAGCAAACAATGAGATCAGAAGAAAGCCAGGAAGAGTATGAGGTATTCTGGAAGCCAAGTGAATAAAGCATAAGGGGGAAGAGGGAATGAGGGAGCCATCATCAACTTTATCAGAGACTGCTAATAAGTGAGATGAAGACTGAAAACTGAACATTGGAACTACACACCATAGAAATCACTGATGACCTTCATGAGAACAGTATGAGTGGAGAGATGGAGACAAAGGCCTATCCGAGGTGAGTTTAAGAAAGGAGAGGAGAGGAATTGCAGAAAGCAAGTATGGACAATTCTTTCAAAAAAATTTCCAGCAAAAGGGAGACAAAAAAAGCAGGCACTAGTTCAGTGGGGGAGGGGTGGGTAGTAGCCTGGCAAGAGTAATTAGTTGGGTTTTGATTTTTTTAAGAAGGGAGGAAGTTTATATTCTGATGGAAATGTTCTAGAAGAGATTGAAAATTTGCTCATGTAAGTGAAGGAGGGTAAAATAACTACAGTGAGACCCTGGAGTAGGGGAGACAGGATGAGAACTAGTCTGTGGGTAGAGGGGTTTCATTTAGAAAGGACAATGGATAGCTCATCTATGGTGTTCTGGGCTTCTATGACAGAATACCACAGACCTGGGTGGCTTATCAGTCTGGAGATTGGGAAGTTCAAGATCAAGATGCCAGGAGATTCAATGTCGGGTGAGGATCTGCTTTCTGGTTCACAGACAGCACCTTCTTACTTTGTCCTTACACGGTAGAAGGAGAGAGGGAACTCTCTGGCGGCACTAATCCCAGTCACAAGGACTCCACTTCCTAATACCATCACACTGGGCATTAGGTCTCAACATATGAATTTTGGGAGGACACAGATATTTAGTCCATAGTATATGGTAACAGGTAGACAGAGTATGTGTGTATAGATGCTGGTGGCAGGTAGATGGAGCAGAGGGAGTCTATGGAATTTTCTTATTACTTCAATTTCTTGATGGAGTAAGAAGCAAGGACATCAACAAAAAAATGAGTACAAGGGAGAAGATTTGGGGTTTTGAGAAGGCATGAAAAAGTGTTAAAGTGGTCATCGAGGAGAGCACAAATGTGAATGAACTTGGAACAGAGGGCGGCATTAAAGGTTCCCTTGAAGCTTGTGGTCATGAGCTCAAAGTAGGACTAGTCAATAAGGCTGTGTGCCATTCCATCTATACACAGTCACAGAGATAGGGGCAAGAGTAGGTGGAGGGTCAGATTCAGACAAGGCTGGGTTTTGAAAGAAAGGGAGTGTGATCACCAGTGTGATTATAATGATCGACCACGGACTTTAAGCTGGGGGAGTGAAGTAAGTCAGAAAGAGAAAAACGAGTATCGTATATGACCACACATATATGAAATCTAGAAAAATGTTACTGATGAACCTATTTGCAGGGCAGGAATAGAGGCACAGCTGTAGAGAATGGACTTGTGACCTGGGGTGGGGAAGGAGAAGGTGGAACAAGCAGAGACTAGCAGCGACATATACACACTACCACGTGTAAAATAAACAGCTAGTGAGAGCCTATAAAGCACAGGGACTCAGCTCAGTGCCCTGTGATGACCTAGAGGGGAGGGGTGGGGGGGTGGGAGGGAGGCTCAAGAGAGTGGAGATATATACATACGGCCGATTCACACTGCTGTACAGCAGAAACTAACACAACATTGTAAAGCAATTATATTCCAAGAAAAAAAGAAAGCCAAAAAAAAAAAAAAAAGAAGAGGGGTGTGGAAAGGTAAGGGATCAACAGCTTGGAGGTATTGGTAGGGTCAAAGAACTGATGGAGTATGAATTCTATAAGGAGTGAGTTGGACAAACAGGCAGCAGAAGTGAAACGTTTAAGGCAGAGTTTATGGAGAATAACAATAACAAGGCCTAGGGAAGATTTTCTCAACCTTGGCAACTGATATTTTGGACTAGACAACTCTTTATTGTTGGGGTCCATCTTGAACATCTGTGGTATCTTTATTTGTGGCCTCTACCAACTAGATATCACTATCCCCACTCCCATTACAACAATCAAAATATCTCTAGATACTATAAAATCACCCCAAACTGAGAACCACTGGTCTAGGTTATGACCAAGCAAGTGAGTGGTGAGATCACTTGGCGTAGAGAAGGTCAAGGAACTTAGTGGGAGAGAACTGAAAGCATTGTGAATGAATGTATTACAATCATAAAGAATTAAGACAGGATAGTGTTAGAGAGACAGTGAGCAGGAGCCAGATAGTCAAAACATGAAGCAGATGTCAGCAGATGACAATTAAGAGGAGTGGGTGACATAATCAGATGACAAGGTTCAAAGCTGATGCTAATATACTAGCTTCCCTGGAGTGGTAAAGCTAGTATGAGAACTCAGGCTCCTCTCCGAGAGCTTTTTTAAATGTCTAGAAGGTGGGCAGACATTACCACATGATTTTATGTTCAATTAAATTAGACTCACTGAGTCAAAAATAGGGGTCGGTCAAAAACAACTGGCACCATTTCTGACTGCCATATATAACACACAGCTGAAGGCACATATTTTTGGCTGAATACTACCCTCAAAATAGGACACAACATCTTGGTTTTAAAAAAACTCTCGATTTTCTTTCAGGCCCTTGAAAGTATTATACTGCCTTTGATGAGAAAACAAACATCTTTAATTAAATGATTCTATTATCTGTTTGCTACAGAGTAACTATAAACAACATTTTCCTTAGATAACCAGTCCCCTTTATCTTCACACGGTCTAACATCCAAGGAGGACAAAAAGACCTTAATGGACTGATTGCAATCTCCAACTGCGAGTCACAAGCTCCTCTCACTGCCACCTGGAAAGATTATCTCACCAGATTGCAAGCAGATTTAGAGCAAATGTTCAATTTTCATCCCCACTTCCTAAAGCATATTCACAGGGGAAGTACTTGTTGAAATTAATAGATGTGTCCCCCTTTATAGGAGAAACAGCTCAAGATGGAAAATTCAAATTCTACTGTTATGTATTAAATTCTCCCCAATGTACTATCTTATTGAAATAATTAAGTCTTTAGGCCACAAGAAAGCTGGCTCACTGAACCTTCATGAGCCCATCTGCAGAATTCTATCTTCTTATGGTTATACTGAATTTAAATTTTCTAATGCATAAGCATGAAGCAGAAAAGATGGTGTCAAGGAAACATGTGATGCTATCATCCAAGTCCTGCTCAACTTTACAGATTACCAAATCTAATATTTAAAGCTAACATAAAACAAGGGTGATATCCTCTTATTTCAAGTCCCCCAGTAGGAAGTTGTCAGAGATTAATAGTTATTAGACTTTTGCATAGTGCTTTAATAATGACTAAGGTGTTTTCAGATATTGATTCTAAACTGGATGCTTTTCTATTAAAAGAGAGGATCTTCAGAGTAAGAACCAGGATTTAAATCTCAGCTTTGTCACATATTAGCTGTGTTAGATTACTTAATCTATCAGGTTTCACTTACTTCTCTGTTGAATGGGGATAATAACTAATTTAACAGTTACCATGGAGAAAAATTTCCCTATAATATGAATGGCATAGTTCTGACACATAATAGTTGTTCAATAAATAAACAAAAGTCCTCTTATCTTGTTGTTAACTGAAAAAAAAAAAAAGCCTCAGAGAATGAAAACATTACAACCTTACATAAGATCTCTCTTCCTGAAAAATCAACAAGATATTCTGATTTTGAAACAACAGATCATAAAGTCAGACTTATAGATAGTTTGGCCTTTATAATCATAACACAAATGAACACAGAAAACAGGTGCCTACCTTCCAAACTTTCTTGCTCATCTGAGGTATAAGCATCCATCTGACTTTGTTCCCGTAAGAAACGAATAACTGCATAAACTAGGTGCTTGATGGATGACATGTTTAAAGCTTAAACTTTTCCTTGATTAGAAAAAAGAAAACACTGAACTAAGTAATTTTAAAGAAGCAGTGAAGAAGATTATAAATCACAAAGGTCATAAATTATATTAAAGGTAAAAAGCAAAAACAAAAGCCTGTATTACTTTCACTCCTTTCTTTTAAAGTCAAGAGAGCACAAAATATTGATATGGTAATATATAACATTTTCATTTACACCTAGGAATACTAGGTTATGCTAAAACTTGCAAAAGTAAATTTTTTCTCAAAACATGTACAGCATAAGCTTGCATTCTCACTGAACAGTTCACTATATCTTAACAGTTTATATGGTACAGATACAGATAAGGATAGGGGTACATATACAGAAATCCCCAAAAGGCTTTAGTACTATTTTGAGGGAGATTTCATACTGCTGACTCAGAAGCCAATCCACGCAGGGCATCTTCCTTTATTGCATGAGATTTTTTTTCAAATGCATGCATAATTTACAGTCCACCTACTTTCGTAGGTGGAGACAGTTACGGGATGAGGAAATGCATTAGTGAAAGGTTGTTCAACCATTGAGGGTCATTTTTAATAAAAATGCCATTTCTATTCAATCAACAGACATGTCAGATAATCACTGCCCAAGTCGATGGATACTACAAGCCGACCAATGCTCTCTGCAGTAGCTGTGCTCTCGTGGACAGACTGAACGCTCCGGGTCATGTTCATTCACATGGAATACTATCGCATCCAAACAGTGGCGCAGGGCCAGCCGGCATTAATGGCTTATTTCCACTAAATCGCATCATCCATCTGCTCCCCAGGTTCCCTAATTCAAAGCCAGGGTGTGGTACCCACCGCGAAGACGTTTATTACTCGTGTGTTTATTTTAAAAGAGAGCCCAGCCTATAGGCCACGGGGTTGCAAGTCCTAAATAAGGACCCAGGGCAGAAGGGTGCAAAAAGAATGGGGAGGGGGAGAGGGGACGCGAGGCAAAAATGAAGAAGCCCAACCTCCTCCAGGCTTCTCCCCGTTCCTTTCCCCGGAGCACAGAGACCTCCTTCTCCCTCCCTTCGTTACCCGGGCCTTGCCTTAGCCTCAACAGCGTTTGCTGCGGGTGAGCCGTGCAGGCCCGGACTGGGGCGGCGGGAGACGCACCCTTCCCAGACAGCAGCCCCTTACCAGGGAAGAGGATGCGAAACGGTGGCAGCAGCCCGAGGGCGTCCGTAAGGGTGTCCGCTTGCCCCTGGTTCTCCGGGCTTCAGCCTGGCTCGGGAGCGCAGCACCGCCGCCAGAGGTGGCCCAAACTTCCCCGGCTCCCAGACCGCCGCCGCCCCTCAGCCCACTCCTCGCTGCGCCTGGCTCCCGGCCGCTGTCTCGCCAGAACCGCCCCTGGGGCGGTGCGAGACGCATGGGGCGGAGCCGGGGCGGGGCCAGGGCGGGGCCGGGGCGGGGCTGAAGTGGGCGCCAGCGTGGGGCTGCCGCACGTGGGAGGGTTCAGGCCCAGCTGGCAGCCGCCGCCACGGTTGCCTCCTGCGCTAGGCCACCGCACCGCTTCCAGGCGCCCCGCCACCCCCACCCCCAGACCGGAGGACACCGCGCCCGCAGCCACCGTCGCCTCCCGGCTCTCCCATGATCGTCCAGTGCCTTTTGGCTGTGCGAGGCCTCCACAGGTACCTCCCGTGCGCGGGTTAACCTTGACCGTGGGCGGGGGCCTTCTGCCTGGTCAGTGCCAGGCGCCCCGGGCCCAGCCTTTCACAACAGCACCCCTACGACGCTCTTGGAACCTTCCCTCCCCACCGCCCTCTTGGTCTACCCCAAGGGACACCTGGCGCGGGAACGTGGGGCCACCTTTCCTTCCTCTGCTCCCTCGGGAGGGCATCCATTCCCTTTGTTTGGGACTGCCTCGACTGCAAGCAGTCAGACTGGTCACAGGCCCGGCCCGAAAGAGTGCAGAAAGATGATGGGGATAAAATCGTTGGACATTCGCCCCCATCCGGAACTGCAGACCTGTCGTTAAAAGTGAGGGCAGCTGTAGACTCAGATAACAATTCTCATTTACTCCTCGTGTGCATCGTTGGCACACAGATCGTTTAACATCCACGCGGAATGGAATCGCAGTGATTTTGCTGCTTATTTCTGTCCATGCTTTCTAATTTCCTTTTCATTTACTTCTTCCGTATAAAACATTCTGCTTCTTGCCGGGGCAAATTGACATGGCCCAAAATGGAGGAAAAGATTGCTTGGACACGGTTTGGGGCAGCTTCAACGCTGTTTTGGATAGACTGCTTAGCGCCTAACCACACCCCTCTGCAATAGACCAGTAGCAAGATGGTGAATGAGAGAATGAAAATTCTTTTCCCCGCTGAGACAGATGGAGTGGTTTTCAGAAACAATGCGACTATCACCCGCATTCCCAAATCTAGCTTTCAACTGAAAATCCGAATGAAAAACCAACAGAAAAAGGGAAATGTGTTTTTCTCGCTAGATCCTTATAAACCCACTTTAGAACATAGCAGTCAGCGTGTAAGCTTTTTAACAGTTTTCTGTTGTACGTTGTCACTCATCTTACGCTGTTCAGTCTTCATAGTTTTGGTGCATTGGGAAACATAAAACAATCATAAAGAGTTCGTGTGATGGTTTTGGCCATATTTCAAGCTGTCCTTTTAGTCTGCAGGCTTCAGGTGGTAGAGCTGTCAAATGAAGCTATACCAGCAAATGAGGAAATGTAACACAGGTGTAAGAAGAAAGAATAAATTTCATATAAGACAGTAGTTCTCAAACTTTTTAATCTCAGGATCTCTTTACCACTCAAAAATTACTGAAGACCTAAGAACTTCTGTTTATATGGGTTATATCTTTCCATATTTACTGTATTAGAAATGAAACCAGGGAGATTTAAAAGGTTTTATTAGTTTTTTTAACAGTAATACATTTGTTACATGCCAAAGATTTTTAATGAAAAATAACCATTTTCCAAAATGTTTCCTAAAAAAAAATCACTGAGAAGGGTGACATTATGGATTCCACCCCCCTTGGGTTTGTGTGTGTGTGTGTGTGGTAATATATAAATAAAATTTACCATTTTAATCATATTTAAGTGCATAATTCAGTGACATTAAGTGCATTCACATCGTTATGTAACCATCGCCACTATTCATCTCCAGAACTTCTTTATTATTCCAAACTGAAACTCTGTATGGGGATTAAACAATAACTTTTCATTATCCCCTTTTCCAGGCTCTGGTAATCACTATTCTGTCTCTCTCTTTGAATGTGACTATTTTAGGTTCTTTATACTAGTGGAATCTTAGAATATCTGTTCTTCTATGAGTGGCTTATATCACTCAGCAGTGTGTCTTTAAACTTCATCCATGTTGTATCATGTGTCAGAATATCCTTCCTTTTTAAGGCTGAATATTACTCTGGAGTATGGATTTTATTTGTCCAGTTACCCATCCACGGACATTGGGTTGTTCCTACTTTCTAGCTGTTTTGAATAATGCTGCTGTGATCATTGGTGTGCACGTATCTGCTTCAGTGTCTCTTTTCAGTTCTCCAGGATATGTGCCTAGAAGGGGGATCACTGAATCATATGGTAATTTTATGTTTAATTTTTGAGGAACCAGCATACTGTTTTCCACAGTAGCTATACCATTTTACACTCCTTTGGCAAAGCATAGGAGTTCCAGTTTTTTTGCATCTTCATCAACACTTATTTTCTGTTCTGCTTTTTTTTTTTTTTTAAATAAAAACCATCCTAGGAGTGGCACTGTTTTGTACATTTGCAAAACAAATGTATGACTTAATAGAAGATAGCTGGATTCTTACATCTGCTTCCTTCCACATTTTTTCTGTTGTATTGGTTTTTTTTGGTTTAAGAAAACTGAGAAAATCCCACCCATCATGTGTAGTTGTAAAAAGAGAAGTATTTTAATAGAATTTTTTAGATAATCATGGATATTCTTTGATATCACATCAGTTTGACAAGTGGTAGTTTTTGAAGGGTGGTTGCCATGTGAATTATGAAACTATTAATGTACTTTTTTTCTTACTGTTATGTTAAAATCCATGGGTCTGTCTTACACTTTGAATGAATCTTTAACCTATACATGATTTTGTAATATCAGACACTTATCATTAGGAAAATTGTGGCTCACTGTGTTACACATATCTTTCTAATATTCTAAGGTGCCTAGAGTTTTATCTACCATTGCTTTTCACTATCAGTGCAGATGTCAACCAAGTGAAAAAGGCAGATAATGTCTTAGTACTTTTATGAAATTCTTTCAAACTCACGTACTCCTTAAAATGGTCTCAAGAACTACTGCCCATATGCTCATCCAGGAATGCAGACCACATTTTGAGAACCACTGATATGTGTTATGCAGATTCTTTGTTTATGCATGGAAGGAAATAAACCTAAAAAGCCATACAGTGGTTACTTTTTTAGGAGCTAGCAATCTACCATGAGTGTATCAACTGTTTTGTTACTCAAGGGCATATATTGCAGTTAATCAGTGTACTCTATGATGGTCCAGTAGTCATCAACTCCAGGCTCTTAAAAGTGACTTAATAACAGAATCTCTGTTTCAAAACCTGTATCTTCCTTAAAGAGTAAGTACTTGACCACATGGAAGGCCCTCTGTGTGCCCCTAATCTTTTTCCTGTTCCCTCTGACACTTGGGAATTCATTTAGTGTTACATGAGTAACTAGGTAACTGGCTTATGATTTCTCTTGGGTTTTCCTGAAGCCAGAGTTATTACAGACCCCCTTTCCAAAGTCAGCATGGCAGCCAGGATCATTGATGTGGGGTTTTAGCCAATTTCTTGGGAATAAGTAGACTGGGAATCTGGAGATTGAATTGTAGTTGCTGTTCATCTAACCTTGTGACCTTAATTAAATCACCCAATTTCTTGGATTTCTCTTGAATTTCTTATTTTGTAAAATGAAAAGGAGTAGGTTAAATGATGTCTAAGATTTCTTTCAGCTCTTGTTGTCATTGCAATTAAACCAGGAGAATTTCCCCTCATGGAGGCCAGATTGCAGACAGAGCATGTGAGCCAAGCAAAATCTGATGTATGTTATAAAGTAAGGGATTGTTGAGATGGTCAGAGAAATGAGAGAAATGATTCAACAGTGCTTAGTCCAAATTATAGCTATGATAGTGCTAATTTCATCTTTCCATTAAACAAAGAACCTTTATTTGTAAAGTTATGATAGCAATACATGTTCCCTGTAGTAGTTGTTGTTCAGTCACTAAGTCATATCTGACTCTTTGTGACCCCATGAACTGTAGCGCACCAGGCTCCCCTGTCCTTCACCATCTCCTGGAGTTTGTGCAAATTCAGATCCGTTGAGTCGGTGATGCTATCTAACCTAACCATCTATTGATAAGCAAAAGAAAGTATACACAATTCACCTATCCAGAAGAACCAGTCATTAATAGCTTCTAAAATATTTTTTGTATACAGACATATTTTTACAAATATGAGATTATATAATACTTATTCTATAATCTTTCTGTAATATAAACATCATTCCATAATACAAATATCTATAATGTAGTTCATTTGTGGGAGGTTTGGTAATCCAATAAACCCTACTTTTTGGACATATCAACTATTTCCAACTTTATACTATGAGTAACAGTGCTTAGATCAACATTCTAGCTATCAAATTTTTCTTAAGTCCTTAATTATTTCCATAGCAAGAGTTCTTAATGATGGAATTTGAACATCAAACAGTATGCATGTCCTTCAGGTTTTTGGTGCTTGCCACATATTCTCCGCCAAAATATTTCTACCAAAGTATGCTTTTACCAGCAGAATGTGCAATGTTAGTTTCCTACACCTTTGCCAACACTGAGCATTTTAGTATTTTTTATCCTTACCAATTTGATAAGTAGAAACTTATAAAAGTTGTTTGCTTTCTGATATGAGAATTTATTCATATGGGAAATCTTAGAAAGTCAGACAAATTACAGCCATCCATAACTTAAACAATATTTATGTATCTGATTATAATTAAATAAAATTGAAGTTCTCCCCCCAAATCCAATATATACATGCCCCAAATTTTTAGAGCAATGGTGCTAGAAAAAGAAAAATTGACTAATAAAAGGAAAGGTTAATAGTTAACAATTATCAAAGGCTAGACTGAGATTATTTATAAAAATGGATTTTTAAAAGTTAGAAGATTTATTTTGATCTTTGTTGTTTTTGTTCTGTCACCTCTTCGATTAAGACAAAGCACAGAACTTTCCTGGAGAAGGAAATGGCAACCCACTCCAGTATTCCTGCCTGGAGAATCTCATGGACAGAGGAGCCTGGTGGGCTACAGTCTGTGGGGTTGCAGAGAGTCGGACATGACTGAGCAACTAACACACAACACACAGAACTTCCATAGGGAGAAGCACCTAGATTAAAATCTGAAGAACCAAGGAAATTGATGTTTATTGAGTACATATTGTACAATACATCCATAAGCCTCTGCGTTAGGAATGCCTATGGCCAGGCAGTCTAGACTAGATTATACAGGCTATAGTCATCTGGAGCCAAGTTGCTTCAATTTGTATGCTGGCTCTGCCACTCACTAGCACTGTGATCGCAGGCAAAGTTGCTTAACTTCTCTGTATCTTTTTCTTCATCTCTTCATTGGGAATTGATTGGC